CCGCGGCCCTGCCAAGTGCAGTGAGTGGCAGGGCAGGGTGCACCGGCATGGAATGTGGCCCTGTCCCCGGCAGCAGGCCCAGTGGAGACTTGGGCGGAGAAGTCACTACTGGGCTGGAACATGGGCTTTATGCATGATTTAACTGACGGCTCGAGGCTACCCGTTAATGAGGAGTTGCCTTGGCTTTTGAGGTCTGCGCTGGGGTGGGGGACGGCAGAACAGCGTAGCTGTGGGCCTGCATTCGGGGTTGCCTCGCCCATCACTGCCCCCTCAGCCGCTGTCATCGCAGCTGTGTGCACTAAATCGTGACGGCGAAGCTTTTAGAGACGAGCACCCAACAACACAACAACCCAAGCCCAACACTGCACTTACAGAGGAGCACTGAGTTTTAGTTCAGAGAAAACAACTCCACATTAACATCTTTCCCTCCGTGGTGCCAGGAGAGGCAGGGTGGGCAGGGCTCGACTCCTGCAGGAGCTGTCTGAAGGCAGAGGCCGGGTCTCAGCGCAGCCTCAGTGGAGGTGGCGATGAGGGGATGGACGGTGACAGTGCTGACACCCACAGCTGGCCTCAGAGCGTTTCTGGGCTGGCGCTATGGCACGAGCTCCATGTGCAGGCCCTGTCCTCGTGGCCCTGGATGGTAGGGGCAGTGCCACCTGCTTCCCAGCGAGGAGCCTCCAGGCGGCGGGCTGGACCCGTGCTCTCATTCAATAGTGATGCCGACTGCGGCTGGGTCCCAGCGCAGGAAGATCTGCCCGGGCCTCCCTGGTGCTGCATGGTCTTCCTGCTGGAGCTGTGGGATTCTCAGGTGTGCTGGGGGAAGCCCTCCTGCGTGACGTTGGCAGAGGGGAGCAGGCGGTCCGTGTAACTGGAGAGTGAGGCAGCTGGGCTTCGGGCAGGGTCGAGTCCGAGGCTCACAGGGTTATGGTGCTCAGTCTGCGTGGTTCCCCCTGGGCGGCGTTTCTAGCACACACAGTCTGGGCTGACACTTTCTGTCCCCTGGAGGAGGACTGCTGCTGCTCCCCACGCCGGCTGCCCGTGCTCCTGCTTTGGGTGCTCAGGCTGGCGAGGGGCCTCTGCGCTCGATGTGCGGAGCCTGCCCGCCTCTGGGCACCGTGGCCACTTGGGCTCGAGCGTCTCATCCAGTGCCCACTGTGGTCGCCCTCTCTCGGGCACCGTGGGCCCCACTGAGGGCAGGGTTCTTTTTGCCTCACTGCAGGGTGTCTTGGGTGTGGAGGCCACGGCTGGAAGCAGGTGCTGCCTGTGGTTGGACACTTGCTCACGTGTGGCACTGAGGTGACTCAGGTCCCCAGGGCCGGGCAGGAGGGTCGGGAGGCAGGGCGCCCCTAGACAGCTTGAGCCGAGCTCGCAGGGCCGGCCTCTGCGCCGGAGCAGTGAGCGCGCCGAGGCTATGGGTTGAGCTGATGCCAGCCGTTTGAGCCTTGTCATCACAGAGTCCTTGGTCCCTGTCTCAACAACCAAACTGCTGCTGAAGTGAGTGTGACGAGTCACAGCCACCCATTTCCACCGAAGGCCAAAGCCCTGACCTGCAGCCATAGCCGTGCAGAGCCCACAGTTCAGCTTCTCCTTTCCGCTGGGGCGGCAGGGTGTGAGGGCTTTGTGACCTGGACAGGGCGGGACTGCAGGGGACAGGTTGGGTTGCTGAGGTCTTGCCTGTGCTTGGTAACTGTGAGGGCTGAGCTGGAGGGGCCTCCCAGGGTCAGGATGTGACTGTGGGGAGAGTGGGGTGCAGTGGCTGCAGACCTCCCGAAGGCCCTGTCTGCGGGGCAGTGCAACCTGGGTGTTCTGCGGGTGGTGAGGTGGTGATCAGAACACCCCTGCCTCCTGCACGCCCCCAGCATCCTAGGGGGGTGACAGCCCCTCAGCGGACTCCTGTCCTGGAGGCGCCTCCGACGGGGACCCCAAGCTCCTGCTCTGAACCCCAGTATGGACCTTGCCCACCTCCCGATTCACAGTACCGCTCACTTACTGCCGGCGGTGTCCTGGGAATCTTAAATGAGAAATGATGAGCGAGTCTCCCTGAAGTCACGAGGAAGGAAGGGGACAGGATGCTAGTTCTGCCGTCACCATCACGGCCACACTGCAGTGAGCACGTGGTGACCTGTTGCTGTGGGTGGCCGTGTGCAGCTCTCAGGTGGTCGTGGGAGCCTCGCAGCGCTTCCCTCAGATGAGGGAAAGCTGTTCCCATTTCCTGCAGTAGATCAGCACTGTTTGTGTCTCAAGACAGAAAAAACCCTGAAGGAGAGTCCCAGCGCACTCAGTCAGGGACGAGTCAGGGTGTTGGCAGGCTGGCTGGCTCCCTCTGGGGTGCAGGGAAGACTGTCTTCTGGCCTTTTGAGCTTCTAGGGACGCCCAGTCCCCCTGCAGCCCCCAGGGCATCTGAATTGCTCTCCCTGATCTGCGACCTGTGTCTTGCTTCCGGCAACACTTCTCCGTCTGTGACCACATTGTCCTCGTGAAGGTGGCTGGTGACCATGGGAACTGCTGTGTCCACATGCTGAGCTGAACCCCACCTGCCGCGGCCTTCCCATGGACAGAGGCATTTGCAGCTGTGGAATGGTGTCCTTCGTCCCACACATGCACAAAACCCGGGTTCCTGAACGCACTTCTTGTTCGGCTCTGGACTTTGGGGTTCTTTAGTCTTAACTCGGTGTACAAACACGGACAGAGCTGACATCCACGAAGGAGCATCGTGCCGAGCAGTGTGGCTGTGAACTGTTCACACAACTCAACTCATGGCGAGTGGTTCTTATGCTGACCCATTACAGGTCGAGGCCGTCCAAAGCGTGGGCCGGAACACCTGCTCTTGGGGATCCTGGTGTTAAGGTGGTTTCCTTTGTTTTGATTTCAGGTGCCAGTTTAAGGGTGGGGACGTTTTCTTCTGTTTCTTTTCTCTTGAGGGTTGAGTGGGTCTATCAATATTAAGTGAAGGACAGTGGTGCCATCGCCGTGGGAAACACCAGTGTCATGAGGTGGAGCCTCGTGTACCCATCGGCTCTGTTCCGGACACACACACCAGGCTTGTGCACTGGTGTGCACGCCAGCAGGGCACACAGGACGCTCCCGATGCCATCCACAGTAGGACAGGCAGGCGCAGAGGGCAAGCCCGGAGCCTGGCTGAGCAAGGTGGGCAGGTGCACACGGCTTCCTGTGACCACAGCTCATGACATCTGGGACGGCGGGACCTTCTGCAGGCCGCCACCGGGGCCTGCGGGATGTAGGCAGGCTTTGGGAGCTGCGTGCTGCCCTTGTAGGTGCCACTGCAAATCACTCAGCTATGGGGGCCTCGGTTCACAAGCTTTTGTTTGCAGACAGCTTGGTTTTCGGGCACAGAGCTTGGCGCAGTGTTTTTCTTTGCAAACTCTGTGTCGGTGACAGACAGGACCTTGGCCGTCCTGCACAACCACAAACGTGGCTGTCTGCCAGAATCGTAGAACCATGAAGTTCGTGAACCAAGGCACCAGTGTTTCCCTTGTGATTCGTTCACTGTCCTCTGCATGATTTCATGTTGTTAAAGCCCATGCAGATCTAAATGTGTGAGAGGCTGAACTTCAAGTGATTCTTTTAGGGTTTGTATTTTCAGATGAGAGGAATTTTATTAACCTTTGAGATTTATGAGTCTGTGTCACTGTCGATTCAAACACTTTTTTAGCACAAGACTTTTCTTTTGGGATTGACGTTTAGCACTTCTCTTTAACCCTGAGTCTTTCATCCTCCTTTTATACCTCACCATTTGCATGGTACTTGCTCTATGAAAGTTGATCACAGCATTGACTTCAGGATCTGAATTTGTTCATAAAGCTCTGTGTCTGTATGAGTGTCTCCATCAGTTCGAAACGAGACCAGTCTTCCCAGCAGACTGTAGCAATGATGTAGCTCTAATGAATATTAAAACAATATTACAATATTACTGCTTGACACAGACTCCAAGCCCCATTTGATAGTGAATGTTCCCATCTGCATCACTCAATAAACATTGCTTGGAAAAAGAAAGAAAATTCCTGTACAAAAGGTGGATAAACCTGAAAAGGAAATGTGCTATTAAACTATAACCCCAACAAAAAGGATGGCAACAGCTTCCAAGGGGTGAAGGTGGGGCTCAGGGATGGAAAGCCTGCCTGGCACGCAGGAGGCCCTGGGTTTGATGTGGGAGGGGAGAGAGACAGAAAGAGGGAGAGAAGGAGTCCAGAGGAACCAAGCCTACCATCGACAGCTGTGACAGATTGGCTGCATCTGCTGGCCTTTGTGTAGGGTTGGACTGGCCCGCTGTTTTTACTGGTTTTGAATTCAGTGGTAATGGTTAAATATTGGGAGATAATTGGCATTGATTCTTGAAGAACTAGAAAGATCTAGCAGGATCCATGGCTCATTTCCCTGTAGTAGCACTCGGGGTCGGAGTCCTCGCTGTCCCCCTGGTCACCCCACACTGTTGTTTCATGC